GATGACATGATATTGTATATAGAAAACCCTAAAGACTTCACTAGAAAACTAAAAAAAAGCTTTGGTACTTTTATACAATGGAATAAAACTTGGCCATTTTTAAAAAATCATAACTGTTGGAATATCATGGATGGATCTGGAGATTATGTTATGTGAAATAAGCCACTCAGAGAAAAACAAAAACCATATGATATCTCTTACATGTGGAGTCTAATGAAGAAAATAAACTGATAAACAAAAAAGAAACAGAGGCATGGATGCATGGAACAGACTGACAGCTGTCTAAGGGGAATGGTGTAACCGTGTTGGACTGAATGAATGAAAGTGAATGGATTTAAAAATATATATGTATATATTAAAGGCCTGGTGCACAAATTTCATGCACGGGGGGGGGGGGGGGGGGGAAGGGAGTATGGTCCCTCAGCCTGGCCTGTACCCTCTCCCAATCCAGTATTGCTGACTCCCAACCACTTACCTACCTTCCTGATTGCCCCTAATAACTCTGCCTACCTGCATGATTGCCCTTAACTGCTCTCCTGCCTGCCTGATCACCCCTAAATTCTTGCTTGCCTGCCTGATTGCCCCTAATACTCTACCTGCCTGCCTGCCTAACCACCCCTAACTGCCTGTGCCTCAGTACCAGCCATGGTGGCTTCATCCGGAATGATAATTATGTCTGGAAGGACATTCAGCTGTTTGGTCTAATTAGCATATTATGCTATATATATATATATATATATATATATATATATATATATATATATATATATATGATAGAGAAAACATATATATATGATAGAGAAAACAGTGTGTTAATAGCTAGAGGGAAACAGGAGTGGCAGTAGGTTGAGGTGGGCAAAGGTGGGGACAATGGGAGAAAATAGACTTTGCTTGAAGCAGTTGGCACACACTACAGTGTGCAATTGATTTTTGGTTGAGTTGTGCTACACTTTTAACCTAGCCTAAATTATAGGATTATAGAACTCTCTTTGACAGCTTCCTTATTTTAGATGCTTTTAATAGTCCTTATACTTCATGAATATTTTGAACATGTTGTTAAATATTTAGCAATGAACATAACCTGTAGGAGATAGGGCTCATTAATACCATTTCCCTTTTCCTTATTGTGAAAGTATAATGGGCCCTGACCAGCTTGGCTCAGTGGGTAGAGCATCAGCCTACAGAATGAAGGGTCCCCATTTTGATTCTGGTCAAGGGCATGTACCTTGGTTGCAGGCACATTCCCAGTGGGGGGTGTGCAGGAGGCAACTGATGGATGTTTTTCTCTCTTTGATGTTTCTGGATCTCTATCACTCTCCTATCCCTTTTTTAAAAATATTTTAAAAAAGAAGTATAATGGGACATTTGGTGGCTTATAGTTCTGTAGCAAGGAGAGGATATGTAAATACAACCAACATATTATTATATGTTGTGTTGGGCTATGACTCTTATTTTCAAATTTTATTAAGTGTCTCTAGTAGTTGTTCTAATACAAAATCTTGTAGAACTCAGACCTTGGCAAGTAGGGGTTGGACACTTTCCCTTCCTAAAAAGGACGGTAATGATGGGTTTTAATTGCAACACAATTAGAGCTTTTGATATCAAATTAATTTTCAATGATAGTGTTGGACTTGGCAGAGAGTACCAAATTTATGAGATAAAAGCCCCGTGAGTATATGCACACACTCTTATAGCTTTTTATGCTAAATTGAAATTCCTGCTTCATTTCCATTTCTAGAATCAAAGATTAAGGATAATAAAGCTTTTTAGCTTAGTGAAATTAGTTAAGTGCATTTTATTATATCAAGTCATACTTAATTATAAGCCATACTTGGCAAATTCTCTCCACTTTAAATAATTGTTCACAAGATAATAATTTTATGAAATTTGTGTACATAATGTGGAAATATGGTACTAAATTAAAATTACAGAATTTTAATAAATTTTGAGCCCTATTTTACTTGTAACCATTAATGCACTTTAGCCCATGTAGTTAAACTAGCATGAGTACTAAAACAAAACCTTATTTTTGTTATATAATAAAAGCATTTTACATTTTTGCCAATAAAAGCAACGCATATTATTTTGAATGAGAACATTTGATGTGTCCAATATTTAGAGCATTCCAGACAATAATAGTGTCAGAATAATTATAATGAAAACATAAAGCCAATAATTAAAGTGATAAATATTGACAGATAATCCTATGTAATAAAAGGTAAATATTCAAGTTGTCCTCTTAGGAGTTCAACTTACCGGGAGATCAACCAATCAGGAGTTTGATTGCTTGCTATAATATGTGCTGACCACCAGGGGACAGTGTGGAATGAAGGAAAGCCCCAGCCAGCAGCCAGAAGGCCCTGATGCCAGACAGGCCTACAGACCCTATTGGTGTACAAATTTCATGCACTGGGCCTCTAGTTTGATATAATATTAAGGTGCAAATTAATCTCAACAGAATAGATATATGTACTAAAGTTACCAGTGTGACACAACTAGATAACAAGTATGAGACCTTTGAGTTTATTTTCTCTTTATATAATAAAAAAATACATTTTTTTTATTTTAACTGTTAACATGCTATCAATTAAAATAGTGTTTCTTACATTTCCTTTCAAAAAAAGTGTATACACACATACACACACACACACACACACACACACACACACCAGAGGCCCAGTGCATGAAATTTGTGCACTCAGGAGGTCCCACAGCTTGGCCTGCACCTTCTCGCAGTCAGGGAGCCCTTGTAGGATGTCCAACTGCCATCAGCTGGATATCCTTAGCACTGCTGAGAGGTGAGAGAGGGTCCTGCCATCACCAGTGCACTCACCAGCTGTGAGCCTGGCTTCTGGGAGTGTACTGACCACGAGGGGCAGTTTCTGCATTGAATGTCTCCCCTGGTGGTCAGTGCATGTTATGACAACTTGCCATTCTACCATCAGGCCAAAACTGCCTCTCCAACATCCCCTAAAGGGTCCTGGATTGCAAGAGTGTGCAGGCCAGGCTGAGGGATCCCACTAGTGCACGATCCGGGCTGGGGTGGCATGTGGGAGGTTGGCCAGCGGGGGAGGGACCAAGGGAGGTCTCAGGGCATGTCTGACCCATCTTGCTCAGTCCCAACCAGCTGGACCCCAACAGTAAGCTAAACTACTAGTCAGAGCATCTGATCCCCAGTGGTCAGTGCACATCATAAAGAGTGGTTGAACAGCCTTACCATATCATTAGTATACTACACTTTGATTGGTTGAACAGCCAGACAGATGACCAGACAGACAACTGGATACTCAGCATATTAGGCTTTTATTATATAGGCAATGTGGTTACAAATGGTAAAATTTTATGAATATTGCCATTTTTATCTAACTTTATGTGTAGATATTATTATTCCATAAACACTTACTTATTCTTTTATTTATAAGTATTAAATTGAATATATTAATTTATATTTTTTTAATTAAACAGTCCTCTATGGATGGAAATGATGTGGTCTCTAGGATTTTCCTTTTAGAAATAATGATGCACTACATTCCTTGTACACTTACCAGTTACACACATGCAAGGCTAACTGGAGAATAAGATCCCATATGTATGTAGGAAATCTGAGCTAAAAGGTATATGAATTTTAAATTTTTATTTCAGTTCTACAGAGATTTAATTTTTGATGCACTCCATAGAGATTGTACTATTTTTTACTCTGACTAATAATATATTAAGGTTTCTGTTTTCTCACACACTGGCCAATATTGTGTTATAAAACTATTGATTTCCTACCAGTATTATAATTAAAGTATTTTTCTGGGATTTTTTAATTATTAAAATTAACTTTTCACTTCAAAAATGTTACAGACATGCAAAAATTACTAGAAATTTGGTGTAAACATCAACAATACCCTCAGATATTAATACTTTACAAAATCCAGGAGATTAACATGGTTGGAAAACTATAACAACTTACACACCTCATCAAAATTTCACCGAATACTCTACTGGTGTCTTTATGTGGATCTGGAATTAAATTTAGCACTATACATTGCATTTAGTTGCTATAATACTTTAGTATCCTTTAATCTGGAATAGTTTCAAGATCTTTGTCCCCTCTTTCATCACCTTAAGAGAACTGCCACGTTATTTTGTGTAATCTCCAACTTTGCCTTGTCTCGTGTCTCTTTTTTTTACTAAATTCTGTGGTAAGAACACCTCAGTCATAATGGTGTGTCTTTCATTGCAGTGGCAAGGCACGATGTAGATTTGGTTCAGCTACTTAGGATGTGAAACTTGATCACTTGCTTTATTGGTCCCTGGCAGATTTTCCACTGTGTTGTAATTTTCCCTTTGTACCTACTGATCTATTCTGGAAGATACTTTGAGATCATGCAAATATTTTTAAATCATACATTCACCCACTAATGTAGAATCTACAGGTGAATATAAATGGCAATTCTTCATTTCTACTTAGAGTAGGTAGAAATGTACTCCAAGGAGCTTTCTTTCCTCACCTCTTATTTTTTAGTTACTGATTGATTGATTGACTCTCTTGTTCATATTAGTTTGGAACTATGGAATCTTACATTAGTCTATGTATAGTGATTCACTATTTCCTTTTTTTGATTGAAAAAGTTTCATATTTGGCTTTTGAGAGCTTCTTCATGCTAGTCTCTGTGGCCTTTTAACATAGCCCCATTCTTATAATAATATAAGCCCTCTGATTATTGTGTGACATGTTTGCTGTATGGAAACCCCCAATTCTCTGTAACTTCCAAATTTAATGAACTCCCCAATATCTTGATGTAAAAGCTCTGAGCCCTTAAAGTGTAAACACCTTGCTCCCAGCATAAGGCACACTGTCTGGCCCACCGATAAGGACACAGTTGTTTACGGCGGACCATATAACCCCGGGACCAGCTTCAGTTGTGGTCTCCTGCCCAATGAGGAGGATTCCACTTCACTCCGAGAGACGAGCCCCTGACTGCTCTACTGTGAACCTGAACCCACTGCGGCCACCTGCCTGTCTCTGTTTTCATCGTCTGTCCTTCAGTGTGCATCACCGGGTGGCCTTTGCCCTTCAGTGTGCATCACCGGGTGGCCTTTGCCGGAGCTTAGGACCCACTAGGGACAGGTAAATAAACCCTGTGTGATCGCATACTCATTCTGTCTGTGTGTCATGTGTTCCAGTTCGGCTCAGCTGTCTAGACATTGGAATACCAGGAAATAGGCCCTTATTGCTGATTCCTGGTCACCTGCATTTGTCCCACTAAGTCTAGACAGATAATCAATTAATTGGGGCTTAATTGGGACACCCATCACTTCTGGGTCTTTGCTTTTCTTGTATTAAGTGATATTTAGCCAATTTAATTTTACTTTCAGTGAAACCATTAAACTTTTGTCCTAAATTTTTCATTTAGTTCATTTTTCTTATTAATAGAAATTATTTTCACAATTAGCCAATTAATTCTTTGTAATATGATTTTGGAAATGTTTTGCAGTTGATATTTATGTTTTTATTTTCTTATGTTTTTGTATTCATAAATTTGATTTTAATATAATAAAATTTATGAAGTTTTTAAGGCTTCTGGGTATTGTCTTTATAATTGGATCAGCCTTTCCCACTCCTATATTATAAAACATTTTTCCTGTCAATATACTTTTTTAAAGTACAATTAGCAGATCATTTAAAAAATATATTTTATTGATTTTTTTTACAGAGAGAATGGGAGAAGGATAGAGAGTTAGAAACTCATCAGCTGCCTCCTGCACAGCCGCTACCAGGGATGTTCCCACAACCAAGGTACATGCCCTTGACCAGAATCAACCTGAGACCCCTCAGTCCACAAGCCGACGCTCTATCCACTGAGCCAAACCAGTTAAGGAAGCAGATCATTTTTTTACATTTATATATTCTATACATTTGAAGATTATCTTAGTGTAAAATGTAAGTTATATGTAAATTTTTTTTCTCTAGATGATTACTTTGAACTGAAAGAAGACCCACATTTATTGTTTAATTTATTAGTTCTGGTTATTTAAAATTCTCTTTATTTAATAACATTTTGTATATCATTGGTTTTATTTTTGTTAATTTGTCTACTTACAATTTTGTATAACATTTATTTTGTCTAGTTTTAGAATACATTTTAATATGCTAATCAGGTATCTTCATATTACTTATCTTTTTCAGATTTTTATTAAAAAATACTTTCCATATAAAATGTAGCTTAAAATGCATTATTATTACTGGGGCAACATTCAATTAGGGGGAACTAACATTTGTACAAATATGAGTCTTTTGGTCAAAATTACTGTATTACTATCCAAGTTTTTCTTTGAATCTTTTGAGAATGTCTTAAAATATTCTTTATTCATTCAGAGAGTGTTTCTTGTTAAGTTTATTATTAAGAGGCATTTTATCAATGTTTAAATTGTTTCAAGTAAGATATTTTCCAATTATTTTGTTTCCATTTTTTATTTTTTATAAATTAGAAAACTATTGATTTCTACATATAGATTTTGTATTATTATCTAGAAATCTATCTGAATTTCATCATTGTAGTTGCTTTTATCAGTTGAATCTTGAGTTTTCCAATTATATATTCACATCAGTGACAAATAGTGAAAGTTATGATTCCCTTTCTCATTTCATTTATCAAATATTTTCACTTGTCTGCAATGGCTGACATTTTCAAAAATGATATCATAATGATGATAGTGCTGGCCATCCTTGTTTTAGAATTCTAATAAGAATGCTTCTAATGTTTGTTTCCTTGGCAAAAAAAAAGAAAAAGAAAAAAAAAAAGTAAGTTTTAGGTTTTGGTATCTGTATCTGATAATGTTTAAAGAATATCCATGCATTAATATTTTATTTTTTAAAATTATGATACATATTAAATGTTATCAAAGGCCTTGAAATACCTATGGAAATGATTTTATGGCTGTCTCCTGTTATCCATTAGTATGTTAGAAGTAATAGGTTTCTTGCCCAAACTGGTTTGGATAGAGCGTTGGCCTGTGGACTGAAGGGTCTCAGGTTTGATTCTGGTCAAGGGCATGTACCTGTGTTGTGGGTACATACCTGGTGGAGGCGGGGGGGGGGGGGGTGGTGTCCAGGAGGCAGCTGATCGATGTTTCTCTCTCATCGATGTTTCTGACTCTCTATCCCTCTTCTTCCTCTCTGTAAGAAATCAATAAAATATATATTTTTTTAAAAGTTGGTGGTTTTCTTAAAGCTGAAGCATTTATATAAATAGCCTTTTCACAACTCTATTTTTTCCATAGTAACTGGTCTGTAGACATTCTATGGTGAAGTAAATTTAATTTAGTGTAACTTCCTTTACATATTTTTACTTCCCCCTGGGTTTTTAATTTTCAGATTTTAACAACACAAGTCTTTTATTAATATTTTAATTTCCCCAATATGTGGTGATTTACTTTTCACCATTTATTATTTTATGCATTTGTGCTTTCTACTTCTGCATGATTTAGTTTATTGGTTTGCTCAAAGATTTAGGTGTGATTTATTTATTAGTTCTGCCACTTTTTTTATTTCTATTTGACTACATTCTGCTTTTATCTTTATTAAATCCATCCTTCTGCTTCCCCTAGATTGTTGTTACTATTTTTTTCCTATTTTTAATTAAAACTTTATGACTTTATCTCATAATTTCTGTTATGAATAGCTTTTGTGATTTTTAAACATTCTTCAACTCGGGTTTGGATATTTTTTTAAACTGTTTTAAGAAGTTTCTTTTTGTAATTTCCAGTGTTAGGAACTTTTGAATAATTTACTTTGTTATTACATTGTTGTTCCAGCTCAGTGTAATCAGAGCAACTATCTCTATTATTTCTACTTTGAAATACACAGAGTCTTGATTTGTGGCTTAGTGTTTGGTCAAATTTATAAATATTTCATGAACATTTCATCAGAAGATGTATTCACTGATTTTGAAGAACAAAGTTTTAAAACATATTATTTTAAGGTTTTAACTGAAATTTGGCCTAATTCTGTTAATTTTCTAAAAACACACATATTGTGATTTTAGAGAGAGTACATGGTAGATAATTACAAGACCAACTGATAGATAGTTTATTTTTACATTGTTTGAGTTTTGAGTTTTTCAAGTTCAGGAACATTATCTTACTTACTTTATTCAATGTTTATTGTTTCTATTTTAACTTGTTCTCACTTTCTAGAGGGAGGAAGAGAGAGAGAGAGAGAGAGAGAGAGAGAGAGAGAGAGAGAGAGAGAGAGAGAGAATGCTAATATAATCCCACAGACTGATTTCTATAAGAGAAAAACTTCTTCTTAGAATGCACATTTAAAATTGTTAACATTAAAATATATGATTGTCTAACCACTATATTGTACACCTGAAACTGAAACAAAACAATATTGAATGAAAACTGTAATTAAAAAAAAGAAATAAAAAATAAAATTGATAACATTAAATGCATGGATACTTAGTACCACATTGCTCCAAAAGAAACCCACATTGTATTTTGAAGAAATGTGCATAGCAGATCTGCTTACACTAGTCCGGTTCTCTTCCATCCTCAACTGCTTTGTTGGAAAAATGGTGGCTAAGGGACTGGAGGTCAGGACTGTGATAAAGATCACACATCTACATGTCATTATCTATGGCACACAGGACTTTTACATTTGAATGGTATTTTCTTGAGGATCCAGCAAAACACTTGCATCAAGAGTGCTATTTCACAAGTTCTCCAGCAATGAAAGCATTACATCTAATCAGCAACATCAAGGTGTCCTAACTTGTCACTATAAGCAGTTATTATTATTGGTGATAGCATTACAATAAAATTCCTTACCTCTACATGTGCTATTTTGCATATTTTCTGCATTCAGAATGTACTATGATCATAATTAGAAAAATGTACTACAACCAAAATTCAAGATCATAGGGACCACTTTGTAAAATATATGGTTGTCTAACCATTATGCTGTATACCTGAAACTAATAATAATATTGAATGTAATTGAAAAATAAAATGCAAGCTAGTATGATAGAATTTGGATATAGATGAGTAGCCACTGGTCAGCCCTGACTTCTGTAGCCCTTCCCACCAACAGGTACTCTGAAGGATGACCTGCTTTAGTAATCTGGAGACAAATCCACTATTGCTCACCTGAATTTCTCCATTGAATAGAGTTGTGGGGTGGCAGGGGGAGGGGGGAGGAAGGAGGGGAGGTTGTGAAGACTTCAGGGTGAACTAAGCTGATCCACAGGACCAATTCCCAACCTCTGCAAACATTTTAAATATAATCTTTCTAATTTGGGCTAATCTATGATTCAAAAACTCAATGTCCCTATCACAGAATTTCCTGACCAGCTCTCATACTAGGCCAGTCTAAACTGGTCTGACTGCTGCTCAGATGGAAGAAAGCTTCTCTTGGAATCACTTATTCAGGCTCCACAGACAGCTCCCAGGAGAAAGACCTCTGGGACGTGAATGTCAGCAACACACAGGGAATTTCACTGAGAGAGGCACATTGCAGGTAGCATGAAAGCTCAAGGCCCTTGTGGGGCTTGGGAGAGTCAGAGGACATCTTAGGTATGTTGCAGAGTTGAGTATTTACATCCTGGACAATGACCCCCTTGTCTTATATGTATATCCAGCACTTTGGGCATGCATGTTACTGTCAGACAGGTGTGGAGTAACTTGGGCAAATAATGACAGAGAGTGATGTGCTGGTTTTGAGTTGTGCGTGTCCCAGGAAAGCAAATGACGCTTTTTCTTAGGAAGTCCACACCTGTGACTGTTGTGGTCACTCACTGGAACGCACACATGAAAGAGGAAAGCGCACAAGAAATCACAGAGAAGGAAGGATTTAGCCTTAACATAAGGTATTTGGATTCACCCCAACTTCAGACCCCAGAGCAAGCCTCTCTGGTTTTTAGTGGGGATGAGGTTAGATGGCCCCTCAGAAGCTGACTTGGCTGCATCTTTATAGACATGCTTTCCTCAGGACCCCACTTCTTGCCCTGCCTCCATTTATACTACAGGTTCCGATAGCACCTCCCTGAGTATGGCAGCTTTAGGTTGGTTTTTATTTACCTATTTGCTCTGAATGTGTACGTATGCTGTCCCTCTGCACAAAATAGCTTTCCCCGCTTTGTTCTCCTTGAAATGC